ATGGCATCCCTTCCCTCCAGCGTGTCAACACCACCACACAGCTTGGTGGTGTTGGCAGCAAACTTGCTGAGGGTGCACTTGATCCCGCTGTCCATGTCACCGACAAAGATGTTAAACAGTGCCGGTCCCAGTACCGACCCCTGAGGAACACCACTTGTCACCGTTCTCCACTTGGACATTGAGCCGTTGACCCCAACTCTTTGAGTGTGACCATCCAGCCAATTCCTTATCCACCAAGTGGTCCATCCATCAAATCCATGAGGTCATGTGCAAGTGCCACAGTACACCAGGAGTGACTGCTGGGTACCCAACACAGCAGTCAGATATCAGACAGTTAAACAGACCCCGGGATCATCTTTGCTGCCCAGCTCTGCATGGGAAGCTTATAATTTGGCAAAGTGTCGTGAAAGAGAAGCAGATTTAAAGACGGCTGGTACTGAATAGCTAGCATGACCAACGAGAGCAGACCATCTGCCATAGGTCTACAGCTATCAGAGGCAGCTGAAGCCACATAGCACTACAGCTGGGAAAAAAGAGCACCACATTACGGTTTTGTGGTGCGAGTCTCACAAGGAACCAGAGCATTTTATCCCTGCCTCCAAGTTAATTGGTGCTGGGTTAAAAAGTTACAGAGCAGTCAAAAAGAGATTGATTGATTTTAATTATGAAGCTTCATACACAGAAACTGAGAAGTACTTGACAGATTGCCTAGCCCCCAAGCTTGTCCAAGAAATTACTTACTGCTTCACAAGGTTCCTCATTGTTACTGCCTAAAATATTAATGTAATTACCATGTGGTCAAAGTGTTTTGAAGGATGAAAAAGATAAACAATAATTTAAAAAAAACCCCCACAACTCCACACCAAACCACAACAAAAAACAAGCCAAACAAACAAACCACACTGAAAGTATCTGTACCCTCGACAACTAAGATATACAGTTTTCTGGGCAGTAAATTTTACCAGACCCAGACATCCTATTAAATCAGTTGTGAAATTGTTTGTCAAGACTCGCACACACACATTATCACACGTAACTCTTCTCATCAGAAATACTTCAACCTTTTTATTAATCTTCATTGTGTACAGTAATATCAATCACATGAGGGTAGTTATCACTCCTCTAAGTACTTGAGGCAGTAAGAGGCAGCATCAGAGTAGTTACAATATCCCAAACACAGGATGTGAAGGCACTGAGTTTAAGCTTCAGGTGAGGCTTTTATCATACCGGCACCAATCAGATATTGGATCAGTTTGAGCCAGGGTATCAAAAAGAGCTAAGCATAACCCCCATGAGCAAGACTGGCAAGAGAAACTGTCCTGATTCAACCACACCACCCAGATCATGCTCTAAGCCTTGGGCCTGATGACTGGGATATTTTGGACCTATGATGACTATGTAGAAATCCCAAACTAGTGTGTGCAGATAATTTTGTAATGAAAAATGAATGCTGGTATTTTCAAAACACTTCTTTCCAAGAAGGCATCAAAAGAACAGCCATAAACCCCTAATGTATGAATCTCTACAGCTCATACATAGCCTTCACTCTGCTCTAAGAAAAGTCTCGCTTACCTGTAGTTTTTGTTCATCTTCCACACCTTGCAGCCCTGACAGACGGTGCTCAGCCTCATCCAGCCACTTCATTAGATTGTCATGTTCCTTCTTATACTGGGAAAACACTGGAGAGAGTTCTACCACCTGCCTCCTTTGAAATGACCTGCACTCCTACAATCCAATGTATTAGGAAAATACAGTATAAGAAGAAGGAAGTAATGAACAAGATAGGTCTCATTTCTCTGAAAAAACAAAAACACTCAAGGGATTCATATGAAGAAGCAAATTCCAAAATATGTAATAGTAGCCATTTATTTTTTAAAAAATAGCTATATTCTGTTTATCTGCACAGATATGCAATCAAAGCCAGCCCGAGGGTACCCCACCTTTGAGCTACACCTCACCTTACCAATTCTAATATGATTCAAACAGGTGAGCTAAAAGGAGTATAACAATACAGATCCCCTCTGTTCTACACAAAAACTTTTTTAATATGGCATGTGTATGAAAACACCACAACATACTAGAGTCCACAATTGTTGATAAAACTATCTTATAGGAAGTAAGAGGAATCCAAGAGCGGACTCATATTCACACAAACCTCTTCAGCTGAAAACTCAATGAATATGCTCGTGTACACATGTCTATGTAGACACTCTTCACCCAGCCCAGAGGTAGAGACAAACCTCAGCTGGAGGGCCAGCAAAGACAAGTGAAGCAAATGCCCAACTGTCTGCACTCATCTGTGTAAATATATATAGGGTGGCCATTTGTGAAACTGTGAAATGGACTTGAAAAATCAAAACCACTCCCCCAATACTTTGGGATGACAAAATTTGTATTTTGGAATTACAAAGATTCAGAGAGTCAGACTGTGTGTATGCACATTCAACTCTTCCCCAGAGAATCTTAGACACTAAAAAAAGGCATAATCAGGTTGTAAATGGGATACCAAAGGAAAGACGAAATAAATGCGCTTTAACTATAGTAACTATCATATTCATACCTGCACACTGTTGTACTTTTTCTGCAGAAGCAACAGCTGTATGCGGATCTTCTCTCTCTTATGGTCCTCCATAGGCTGCTGTAACAACTGCCCTCCTCTCTGTAAAACTTCTTCAATCTGAGCTCTTTCTTGATCCAGCTAGAATTATACAAGTCTGTATTATCTACAGAAAGTTCAGCTATGGTTTCCAAAATAAATTTATTACCTGCTCAGATATTAACAGTAATGGTACCAAACTGTTCTTTTATTATTCAAATGTGAGCCAAACAAATTCAAGCAGAGATTCTCCTCCACAACTACCAAATCCTAATTCCAACTCGGTCATTTCATTACCTTTGTAAAGAGATGCCCTGCAGGAAGCTCACTAAATGAGCCTACAGTAGGCAGCCAGAGCAAGAGGATGCTATGACTTCAGCTCCATTTCTATTCTAAACATTCCTTGACAATAATAAGCAAGCTCAGAGCAGAATAGCAAGAAAATGAAGACATAATATATTTAAAAACAGCACGAAGGGAAGCATATGTTCTATGGTAATCAGTTCTTCAATAGAGGCCTTTTTAAAATTGTTTTCTGTAGTATACATGCCATTTTCCACAGACTTATAATTCAGCTTTCCAGCTCAACTGATAATATTTCATGTGCTTAAAATGAAGTTAGGGTGGCCTGGCAGGACTTTACCCAATTTTGTAGCCTATGAGGCTATTGTGGACAAGATGCAAGCAAAACTATGACAGTTTTACACACGTGAATAACAGAGCCTAGATAAGAATCTACAAAAAGATATATTTTGTTCCAAGTTCTTATTTGGAATTGTTATGAGCCATATTACAATACTTTCATTTGTATCTCATTTAACAAACATCCACTGATCTGACCTATGTACTGTGATTCAATATATCATACCAGTTTAAATTTAAAAAGTGGAAAAATATCTACCCAATGCAATAGATGAGAGACCCACAATTGCCAAATACATAGTAAGAGTTTCAGCTGCATTAAGTAATTATTTCAACCTAAGTTGAGACAGTTAGATATAAAAAAGAAAAAAAAAGAGCTGGACCCTATTACTTTTACAGGAAAGATTCCTTATAAACAGCTACTTTGATTTATCTTCTCTCTTCTAGTCAAAGTTCACTACCTGAATTATATAAAAACATGATGAAAACACAGACTGATGTGTGACTAGTTACTCTCAATGCACCAGACAAGAGGCAGTAGCTATGGGAAAAGTATGTGAAAATTGTGCAGTTTCCAACAACCTAGTAATTCCCTTCATTTTCTACTCCTGTCTTAAAAATATTTTCTCAGAAGAATTCCTCCTCAAAGTCAGGAAGAATGTGACACGTGGACAAAATAGAAAGGGAGTTAGTCACTTTTTTTATTCTTTCATTGCTCACAAACCTTTTCGTCTTCCCCACTCAACTCCAGATGCTTTTCCACAACTTTTAACATATTCTGTATGTCACTCTCAAATTTTTCCAGGTCTGGAAAAGCTCTGACTTCACGGGGCTCTGACATGACAGGAAGCCGTTCTTGTCCAACAAGCATCTGCAAAGCAAAATAAAACTGTTCAAGCTGAAAATTTAATCTGAGGTGTCACACGCAATTTAATGATTTAAACCAATTCTCCATGAACAGGCACACCAGTTTGTAGGACCATCACATATTAGCATAAATAAAACCGCAAGAGTTGTTTGATCTAACAGTGAGAGTTAGCTTTGACAGTGTTGATAGGTATTACCAAGCTTCTACCTTCAAACATCAATGTGAGCATTTTGGTATCAAAACAAACAAAATCCTCCAGTCACATTAGCTTATAGTGTTATTCTGTAGTCATATAAATACATACTGCAATATATACATTTTTCTGAATCTTTATAACACACAGTTATTTGTAAATTTTCACTTGCAATTCAAGTCATCACCTGCTATTCAGGTAAAAAAAAGCAGTTGGTCTAAAATCAGTCTGTCCAGTTTTCACATATAAATATCTACACTTAAAAGAGAATCAAATGCAGAGAAACGCTGTTCTAATGCATAAAGGTCTATCCCCTAAAGCTATTTGCCATCATTTTGACATAGACCCCCTCAAGCATGTTTGGGGCTCACTCATCCTCACCTTGGCACTTTTGATGTGCTGAGAGACCTTCTCAAAGTTACGGTTCAGTTCTGCCAGTTTGGGTTCAACAAGTTCACGGCATGACACCCCCCGACCATTCATTAGGATGATAGCCTGATCACGCACATTATCCACTCGCAGACTAACATCATCTAATTCAGATGTTAAGCGCTAAGAAGTGAAAGAAAATATAAATGGTTACCCTAGGAAAGGAAAAAATGTTAAAAAAAAAAAAAAATCCAGGCAGCAAACCTTACGATTTCATTTAGAATCCAGAAGTGGTTACTTGACAGAAACATTTCCTACCTTCACAGTTTCCTCCTTTTTGCTTGCTGACTTTTTCTCAATCTCATCCAGCAAGGCTTCAGCCTGATACAACCAAGTACTTATGTGGGCAACATTTTCATCAAAAATTTCCAGCTGGCTCTGATGATTCTGGAAAAAGACCAAAAAAAAAAAAAGTATCAACGTGAGAAACTTAAAAGAAAAAAATCCACAAAAAAGCCCAACACAAAACCCAAAAACACTCCCACAAAAACACACACACCCCAAAAAAAACAGCCCTGCCAAAACCACTATTATAAGTAAAATGGACATCAATGGTATAAAGTGTTATGGATACACCTTGGAAAGGAACACTGAAAATTGGATTGTACCTTTCACCTTCAATAAGTATTTACAAGAATTTAATTTTCATTTTAGACCTTCCAATATTATTGGAAAGGGAAATAGAAATAGCTGAGGTGGTTTGTCTAACTAAAGACAGTGTAGTACAACATTACAGCCAGACCACATCATCTCAGTTGAATGAAACACCCACAATTTTTTCAGTTATCACTAGCAGATACAATAGTACGCACTATGTGTGATGGTTGTTGGTGGGGTTTTTTTTAATTGAAAGTGGAATACACCGAAACCTACAAATTATAATAGTCAAGTTTTGATATTTTACTGATTACATTAAAATATTTCCTCCCATTAAGAAAAGTCACCACATTGTAGACATGTTAATTAGGTTTTTCATATGTAGTCAGAAATTGTAACATTAGGTGCATAGACAGAAACAACACATTATTCGGTGTGACTAAGCAAAGCTATCAGATTCAGAGAACTACCATCCTGCTTAAGCGCAGAGCTTCTTACCCAAAAATAGAGTAGCTAAGCTTTGATCTTTTAGACTAACAAAACAAAGGGAGGGGAGGAAGGAGAGAGAAGGCCTATGATTGGTCTCTATATCAACATCAAGAAACTTAAATCTTCACCTAGTGGAAGAATAGTATACCCATATTTGTAAATGTTGTGAGGATGACCTGCAACTAAAAACCTTCTAAATTATGTTCATGTTTGGTGATGAGTATTGTCCTTTTGCTGATTTTGTTAGGTTTAACTATTCTTTCGCTAGGTGAAGATTTAGTCTAAAAGATCAAAGCTTGTCACACATGCAGCTTACCAACAAGGTGTCACACCAGTCCTCAGTCCAGGTCCGAACTCTGCTCCAGCCAGCATTAAGGACACACAGTTTCTCCTCCAGTGAAGTCTCGCTACCTTCCACCAGAGCCTGGAGTGCAGTGCAGCTTTCCGTGATGCTCTTCAGATCAGCTTTCCTCCTCTCCAGCTCTCTCAGCACATTCTGAAACAACAGGAGCCATTAACACTACACACTGCTCCCAAGGGCAAGGGAGACACATTTTTACATCCACAGGAAACAAATAGTACTGTAGATAATCTTCACTTGAGAAAAATCAAATGAAGTAGAATCACCTTTCCTTTATACTCATTCTCTGTAGATAGTGATCTCCTTTTTTTGACAGAGAGAGGAGTGAGCGCACAATGTAAGTGTCCTGAACAACTTAGCTTGAGACCTTTTTGTTTTGTTGTTTTATAGCGTCTTCACAGTTCCTTTTCATTATGTAGGTAAAGGAAATGCATCACTTCACATTATAGGTGCAATTTTAAAAGGTTGTTTTCTGCCCTGTCAAGCACCACAGAGAACACAATTTTCAAGAGATGCTTTGTATTTCTCTCTATCATTTCCTATTAAAGTACTTTTACAGTTGGCAACAATGAGAAAAGCAGTATGCCAACGCTGAATGTTTTTTTGAGAATCACCGCCACTCATAACCGCATATGTTCAGTTCACTTGCTACATATTACAGAAGCCTTACTGTTATATTACCTGTACATAGATAAGTAAATATACATGTATCTTTAGCTCTAATATTTTTTCCAAGTCACCTATGAGTTCAAATAGTTTTTAGCCTAAAAAAAATTTAAAAATCACCTTCTTTGAAAGGATGCATACAGACATACAAAGTAATACGTCATCTCTTGAATATCAGTATATGGTTTCCATGTGGAAAATAGCACCTCTGCCACACAAGATCACCGATTACTAGTGATAACACCTGGCTATTTAGAAAGCTCTTTGATGTCAGCATACAGTATGTGGAAGATGCAGTTAACCACACCTAGTGTCTGTAGCTCCTTGAACATCTTATGTGTGAAGTAAATAATCTATTATTTTATCATCACTTATTATCTTAGAGATAGAAGCAAATATTCAAGTTACTACATTTTAAAATTGCCTCTCGAAAACCTTAAGACAGGAAGGACAACGCTAAATGCAACATAAAGGGCTTGTTCTCCTAGCGATGCAGAGTTCATGAACTATTTGCATTGCTTACAAATGTATAGTAAGTATACTTCAATAAGTACTTACAAGCTTGTTTGGAAAGAAATCTTAGGGATACTACAGAAGCATAGCGTTGATAATTGCTAATCCTGAGTGAAATGGGTGACAATAGGTTACAATTAGATGTTTTCCAAATTTTGTAAGCTTTCAAGTTTTAAGGTTGTACAGAGACCTATTACAAAAGTAAAAGGTAACAGAAAACAATGCCTGGAGAGACTGGTATTGCTGAACTGTATCAACTGACACTTGTTGCTAAGTCCAACTATTACATTTACAAGTTTCTACAGTGTGACAAAATAGATACTTTGCTTTAGTATAATTAGAACTCATTTGCCTGCTTCCATGAAAAGTTCCAATTTAGGGATGAAAGAAAATAAGGAATTACAGGAGCTTTTTGTTTTGTAAAGTCACAATTTTGAAGACAAAGCTGTTTCAATGAAAAAGTTATAAACTCAATTTTTCATTACAAATGTCAGTGAACTTTCAGTTTGCTCTACTAGTAAAATACTTGACCCAGCCCAAAATTATATTTGCTGACAGTTAAAAATATTATACTTATGAACTGTTAGAGATACAGTAAGCTACATAAATACCTATCAATACCAAATATGTAGTAATATCTTTAATATTTCACTGGCCATTAAAGTTTGGGGCAAGATGCCTGAGGTGAAACAGATCAGAATCAGTAAGGTACTGAATATGATCTACTGAATCTACTAAAATTTCATGATGTAAGAGATAAAGGAAGAAGTTACAGGAATTTATATTCACAGCCACTTAGCAACACTGCGTTGGAACTACATGATCTTTAAGGTCCCTTCCAACTCAAACCATTCTATGATTCTATAATGTTAAAAATTTATTCAACAGACATTTAGAGCATGCTTACTTTGGCCCAGGCAATTTCTGAATCCAGATCAGAAAGCAAGCTCTCTGAAGTGGACTTCTGCACAAGCTCAGCCTCAGTGGTAGCTAACCACTCTGACAAAGAGGCAGCCTCTTTCCTCATTTTGCGTGCCAGCTGCAATGCTCTTTCAAGGTCTTGTTTTCCTTCCGTCACCTACAAAAAAAATAAAAAGGAAAAAAGAAAACAAAATTAGATTTTAAAAGATAGAAAAAATGGAAGTGCTAGTCAGCTAAAAGATCCACCCAAATATATAAAATCCTTGCATCTGAAAACTGTCTTGCATTAGGGAAGGACCCTGAAAAGAAAAATCACTTATAAACATCTGCATCTTACTATACAAAGCAGAACACATAAAACTAGAACAATTTTAAAGTAAGATACACTTAAAGGAGACAAAGAAACCTGTGTACCAACTTATTTATAGGCAGTAATCACCAAATTGATGTTTAAACTTTGTTTATTATGATCCTTTAACTGAAACTCAAGGGGATATAGAATATAGTCAGTCAGTCACACAGGTAAAATTCAGTTCCTTTTTGTACTTTGATAGACCTGCTAGCAGAAAGCTGTAAAGAAAATTTCACTGAGAATCTAGTCTGCCCTCGAAAACATCTCAGTAAAGTGAATATGAAATTTTATGTTTGCCTCAGTATAATCAATTCTATTTCACACTGGCTACACAATTAGTTTGGTCAAACTTTAACACAGACTTGAGAATAAATCCAACCATAGTAGTCACAATCAATTGACATTTCAAAAAATTGCCCTCTGTCTCAGCTTAGTGTTTGCATGTATTTATTCAAAATAATGCACTCATTGAATAACTAAAAAAATAAATTCAGACACAAACAAAATCATAATATTACACTCCAAATAACTCTGCCTTTCTATCTTTTCCCAATTTCTTGCCCACATCCTTTCCAAGTTATAGGTGTACAGATTCCACTAGAATCCACACCTTCGTGAATGTTCTCCACTTTGCAACAATAAAATATTTCCTAAAAGATACTCCAACAATGTAATCTAGCCACTTACCCACAGCTTCATTCACAGAACACCGAACAAGCACAAGTCTGCCTGGACTTCTGTCTTAATTTAGGTAGGAAAAGAATCCCCTGGTTTCCCCCTGCCCCCTAAGGGTCTAACCATTTTTAAACACTTCACTTGGATAAATAACTATTCAATTACTAAGAAAATTACTCAAATCAGTACTTAATGCAGTTCATGGGAAATACAGGTTTGCTTGCATTTTTTTTTTCATACTGAGAGCAACTCTTTGGATGGATTACTATTAGAAACCATCATGACACCTCCTAAAAAAAAATTACATCGACTCAAACTTGTCATAAGACAATCTGACAGAAAATTATCTTGCAGGCTGGTTGACAGACAAGAGAAGGTACAGCAGTGCTCAAAGACTTTAACAAATAGGAGAGCTTTGCCAGAATGATGAAAGCTCTGTGAGCCTTCCTTTCTTCAAGGCTACATCCCCTTCAGGAACACTCTGTGACCACAGGGGTCTTGCACAACCTACAGGATTGTTGTGTGTAATCTTTAATCTCTTAACTGATTGCTCCTGGATGTAGCAACTACTCTACACAGTATCAGCTTCAGTATCAAACTTAAAACAGTATCTGACATCAAAACAACAAAGAAGGGAATTTATATGCAGACAAACGTTCATATGTACATTTGTTTTTCTTACCTGTGCCCCCAAGTCATTGTAAAGAAATTTCAATGCTGTCAGTTGTTCATCCATCCCTTTGGGATTATCTGTCTGTTGTTTCTGTACAATTTGCCTTCCTGTCTTGATGACAGTTTCAACCTCCAATTTCACCTCACTGAGGGTCTTATAGAGTTTCTAAAAACACAAATACGTACATTGGTGATCAATTTGTAGGGCAGATTTTCAGACTTTGTTTCATTTGGGGACCTGATGATTAGATTGCACTTAAACTCTGAGCTATGGATTAAAAGCAATGTCTGCCAAGATTTCAAACTCCTGATGTTCCATATTTTATTCTAGTTTTCATTTTCACCCCCCAAAAAAAGAATTATCCCAATAATTTAGCAGCGTTTACTCTGTAACACCACCACACGTGACAAGGCTACCACTGTGATCTGTACTTGATCTTAAGTATAGTATTTGGTTTGTTCAAATACTAAGAACCAAGCAAACTTGCCCCTAGAGTGATGGTTCTCCGTAACATGAGGATGAGCCAGGGAAGGGAGTTTTTATAAACTCAGCTGTTCCACCACATCTGTGATCAACAATCCAGTACTTTTATGTTCACATTCTCACCCAGAAGAATTAGAGGCTTTTAGTTATCAATTGTTCCACTGGTCTTTAGCATAGAGTTGTAACAGTTCCATCAGAACTTCAGGCAAAATTTCCTCAGGAGAGAGTTTAGGCAAGAAAAACCACACAACAAAGAAACACCCCTAAGCATACTTACCATGCACCTGTCCAGATGAGCTTGGATTACATCTGGGTCAGTGTCCTTCACATCCAAGACATGAAGTTCTGCTTTTACACCATCCAATACCCGCTTGCAATCCAACATGCGCTGCTCAAAATTGGCTGGTTTCTGGAAAAGCTGATACTTTGTAGATACTTCACGAAGCTTTCTCTGGTTTAATGAATATTATGTTAAAAGATTGTTTTAAATTAATATCTGCACTTCAAAAAAAATAGCATTTAAAGCATCTCCCCCTGCAGATGCTAACTCACCTCTCATGCCACCACAACTCAGTACACATGGCAACACTGTTTGCCAAACCAAATTCCATCATCTATTCCTAATCTCCACCTGAGGTGCAAGAGAGCTATAATTCCATGTCATACACTTTCAAAATATCCATTCTACTAAAATACAGAGACTTTCTGACTTTCAGCATTTAACCCATGACACTTACAATGTTTAAACTTCCTTATTCAATTCATCTAGTAATGCTTGTTTCCTAATGAAAGCATGTGAAAGCACATACTATTTACTTCTGAGGTTCGGTTGACCGCACCAAGCAATTTACAGGCTGACAACAGCAGTGTGTAACTGAAAACCAGAAGGTCTTCACATTTAAATTTTTAGTGTGACTCTCCTATTTTTACCTGCAAAGCATCCAGCTGAGTTCCACCACGGGGAGACCTACATTCCGGAGAAGCAGGAGGAAAAGAGCGAGCACTTTTCTTGAGCTCCTCCAAGGTAGACTCATGAGCTGCAATTTCAGCTTGAATTTTCTGCCACATCATAGAAACAGGAAAAAAAAAAAGTTACAAAATTGCTTGCAGGGGGGAAAGAGGAACTTGCTTACCACCTACTTCCCACCAGAAGTAAATCCACTCTGTAAAAGTTAAACACTACTAGATTTAATTTAAATATTCTGTCTCTGGTGACAGCTTGCTAAATTGAAAGCCCTTAAGATTGTTATTTAATACAAGCTTCTTAAAAGAGGAGAACAATCCAGATTACAAAAGATATCACCTAGTACATCAGCACAGGACTGAAATGAAGCCTTCATGAATTACTAAGGCTGAGCACTATCATGAGATATTTCAAAACGTTTTGTAGTGAAAAGCTATACTGGAATACCTGGGCCTCCTGGGGCATCTGAAAGGCATCTACCCTATCAGTCAGGTAAGATGTCAGCTGTCTATCCAGCTCCACTAAATTTTCCTGCAAGACCTGCAACATGTGGTCAGTTTCTCGCATGGTCTGAAGCTGCTGTTCCAAGGCGATCTGCCGACTCACTGCCTGAGTGGGACAGAAAGGCAAGACAAGATGGAGCAGTATTTCAATACAAATTATAATAAACTTTCTCAAAACAAGGTGGGGGAGACAAAAAAATTCTATGCCAGGAGGACTGTCTAAAAAGAGCAAAAACGAGCCCTAGAAGACAGCAATTTTTGAAGCCTGCTGTGATTTATACCAGTAACTAACAAACAGTGGCATAGGAGGAGAGTTCTGCTGCTAGATATACAGGGTAGTGAAAACAGGTCTCTCCTATCACCTCAGGAAGAAAGTATTCTGTTAAAAACATACCAGTTTCAAAAACTAGCTAGTCAATGGGAGTCAGGGACTTTGTAATACACTACAGATCAACATTTTGATACGTAAACTCGCACATTTTCTTTCAAAACAACAAACTGTCTTTCTGTTACAGTGTGAAAACAGAGGTTCACAGTTCCTTCCCTCCATTGCCTCTCCCTTTAAGTGCAAAACTTCTAAGTTTATCTGAAATGTCACTACTTGCATGGGAAAACATATTCCCCACTATTAACACATGCACAGACTGGTGGGTGCATACATACACACACACAGATGTGGAAAGTTGTCAAAAGATCAATGCGTCAGTACCGCAGCTGCCAAAGCAGATAGTTTTTATATGGCAATAAAGTACTGTTGTAACAGGAAAAACAATAGTGAATCCTAACTTAAATGACAGCACGTAGTCCCCAGCTGAGGGCACTGCATTCATGTTGCTCACTGTAATGAGGATGAACTGAAATTCCCTCTGACTACACTCTGGCAATGACAGAAAAAACCTCCCATCCTACAGTTTGGCAGGGGCCTGTATTACCAGGATACAGAACACAAGTTACAAATTTATGCAACAGGAAATACAGCTAGTCTTCCTCTACTTAGTAAATCTAGAAAAGATTAGACTAAAGTATGAGAAGAAGGGGACAGCATAATAGATGGGGAATGAGAAAAATGTTTTCCTTCTGTTCCTTATTTCAGTGTGACTTCTTCCTAGCCATTTCAAAGAGTGAAAGTGTCACTTATTCGTGTTCCTCATTTTTTACAATTAGTGAGCAGCTCACCAGTATTTATGGCAGTAGGAAGGGAATATTAACCTCAGCTATTGAGCTGTCCCCCTTGAGACTGGAATTGCCTTTTTGTCAAAATTACCTGGAAAAATACCAGGGGGTCCCCACAGTGCAAAGGTGTGCAAAACAAAACCATGACTCAAGTCCAGGGGGAGTATCTTACTCTTAGGGCATTATTCCAAATTGAAAACAGCTGGCAACATAGTGAAGGCTCTCTTCTCTTTTACTGTATTGCAGTCCTGCATGTATGAATTCAGCTTAGAGGAATCATTTCAGATCACTGAGCTGAAAAGCCCAGTCTCCTTCAACCCTGCCCCCAAATTCTTACCAAGTGACTCAATTCCTCATAGCGGGCGTTGAAAGCTTCTAATTTTTCACTGATGATATCATCAAGAATCCCTCCATCAATCAGTGTCTGCCCAAGTTCCCGAATCTGGGTTCGATTATCAGCTGGATGGCGCAGGACTGATTCCAGGGACTAATTAAAAGAGAAAGTTTTAAAGGTCAAGACACTGAATAATACTGCATTTTTAGAGGTGGAAATCTGGCTGCATGCACAGAAGTTTTACACTTCAAATGCCTTGAGAGTGCACTAAAAGTATGAATTAGTTATGGCTTAATCCATGATGACCACTGTATTTGCCATGTGCCATTTTGCTTTAGATAATTAAACTCCACAGCACTTCTCACCTATTCACATCATTTCATACTACAGTGCTGGAAGGAATTAATCACTTTACACAGAACAGGAGACAGCATACAATTTTATGATGGTACCAAGTATGGCACAATTATGTACAGCAAAATTCAGCTGTTGGTGGAGGGTCTTACCAACATCCATTCCAAATTCAGAGTAATATGTTCATTTAATCTGAAGAACCAGAATATTCAACGCATATTTCAGTATACTACTGAAGCGTAGAATTTATGTTTTTTTAAATGGGGCTATCTGAAAAGTTACCAATCCGATAGAATGACTACAATACCTCAAGAGCGTCATTGACAGCATCCAACTTATCAGGCAGATTTTCTGTCATTTGCACCCTTTCTTCCAGATTGTTTAGCCAAGCTGTTTCCAAATCAAGATACTGAAGCAGCTCAATCCAACAGGACCACACCTCCTAGGAATAATAGAAAAAACATAAATTAGCCCAGAATGTCAGGCATAGCTCATATATCCTACGAACAGCTTAAAGAAATTACATTTCCAAGACATTCACATAAAATAGGCAAGCAGTAAATATTCAAAACCATGCCACAGCACAGTAGGTTCTACACAGAAAAACCTGCATCTATAGCAGCAAGATAGAAAGAAATAGGCAAAATACACATAGAAGTCTCTAAACTCATGCTAAAATTATCACTGACATCCAGATTCTTATAAAGATTTAAGAATGTAACAAAATGTATCCATTCCTCTTGAAAGATAAGACATATACAGCCTACCCCAAACTACAATCAATCTTTTCTAATTAGCATCGTATTTCAACCTTTAATCTCTGAGAAGTTTCCTCTTCTCATTTTGGAAGACGCACGGACAGATAAAAGAGCTGTGAGACAAAGTTACTTATTTGCACAAGTGTTGATCACAATAGAGATTATAAAAACAAAAGTAGATGGTGTCTCATGGATTCCAAGGATGTCATCTCAAGGGAAAGAAATCAGCAAAATGTGTTTATTCCAAAGCTATTGGATTCGGTGACAAAATTGGATGTTTTCAGTGTCCTTCTCCATTCCTCTTCTGCCACCTGCCTCTGTTTTACTAAGCTGAGAGCTATCATTCTCACCTCCAAAGTGTGGCATTTCCCTCGGATCCGATTGCACAGTAGCTGGTAGTTCTCCAGCACAACATTCAGCTCAGTTGCCAGGTCCTGACCACTAGACGGCACTTTGGCGGCCAACATCTTGATGTTGTCTTTGAGAATCTTCACCCGCACCTCTTTCTGCAACACATCCTCCTTCGCTCTCTGCCCAAAGAAACATATTACATGATCAGTCCTCAAGTGCCATACAGTCACCACTCAAACCAAAGATCAGCCATTTAACCTGGGAAGTATTGCTGCCAATGTATTCTTGGGTCTGAGCATAACAAAATACAGCACTAACTTGCATGGAATTCAAATGATGTTAGTAAGCATTGAAAAATCCTATATTATTAAGCATACAGACATATTTACCATTTATGGTTTGTTCATTAAAAATCCATGACTCAACGCAAAAAAGATTATGTTCAGTGCTATTTATACACTAGCATACAGATATGAAAAAGAAAAAAGAGCCAGAAAAAAAAAAAAGCCCAGAAGTTTGCTAAAAACAAGCATATGGAGGAGAAAAAGGTAGAGTGAATTTACAGAAGTTATGAGACTCAGATCTCAGTAACTATTTTCCAAAGTTACCCAGGAGAGATGATGTAATAAACCCAGGACACATGCAGCTATGAAGTGGGGACCTCTCCCACAGCTGTTGGGTGCACTAGAGGAACATGCAAAAAGGACAACCAGAAGAATTCCTTCAACCCAACTGCACTCAGAGGAGCTTGGTAACAAATACACAGGATTAGCACAGTGCGACTCCAACACACACAGGCCTGGAGAAATCATATTATCAGTTGTAGAGTTTTGCCCTAACCAGAATTCAGGAAGCAGAATGCCAGCTGTTCAAATGAGAGCAGAATTAGGCAAGCTCAAAAGTTTTTCAAAACTTTATGCAAAAAATGCTTCTGGTCAAATATACAGAGGGTTCTTTCCTAGTCCTAAAAGTAGTCCCAGCATAATATTCTTACTGCAAATGCAGGAGGGTATATGCCAGTGTTACAGTAAGCTTAATGGCTCACTGACATATCTGCCAAATTTAAAAGTACAAAATATAATTTGGATTTGACATAGGTAAATGTGTTCAAAGTCTCTCAGATTTGCCAATGAAAAGAGGGTTCTTTCTTTTCTTGGCTCGTGTTCAGCAAGCTGCCAGACTGATTCTCAAATGGCTTCAAAAGACATGAATATATTAAAACACTTGTTAAAGACTGCTTCAGAAAGCCCCTTCAAAAAGAACAATTCAAAACTTCAAATGGATTTGTCAAAGCACTTGTAAAGGGAGGAAAAAATCCTTTATTTTATGCTCCACCAAGTAGCAGTGTAGTGGGTGCTCATTTAAATAATGTGCATACAAGTCAAAACATTTGTGAAGATATGCCTGAACTCTCAGATTTAAAAGCAGAGAGAATTATTGTTTACTCTGTACATACATCCAAGAAAATTATCTATTCAAGTGGTAATTTATAATGAGACAAAAATAGCTCCTTCTTCATTTTTTTGGCCACCAGTCCCAAAATTAGAGAAGCAGGGAACAGCATCACTGTTTGCAACAGATGAGGAACACAAGATAACCTTATAACAGAACTGTTTTAAACTGCTTTTTCAAATGGACAGTTACTATATCTAGGGGACAAGAAATTGAAGCTCAACACAGCTAGAAGCAGCAGAATATGTTTTCACAATTGCTAATTTAGATAGGTATAATATCACCTTTTCTTTCTTTCTCAAGTTTCATCTCCTGCAATAAGTTTCCATATTTCCATATTCTTACTGTTTAATATGCTATACATAGCAACAGCTGGGCAAGCTGCTATTCATTATGAAATCCCTACCCCTCGTGGCCAAATAGAACATCTGCTTTTATAGTTTGTACTTTAAAAATAAAAATTCCACAAATCAAAGCTGAAAAATACCACTAAACTTGTCATGACCTGAGCTCCTTTCCACATAGACAGTAATTCCGCAAAAGGTCAACCCCCAAAGCCATCGAGTTTTGTTTCTCCTTTAATCGGGTCTCTACAATGACCTGGTATTCCTGACCTTCATTTCCTCCACTGCATTCTCTAGCTCTTCAGGGGACTTGTATTCAAAATCTTTCTCCAAATATTCTTCTTCAGCTTGGGTCATCCATTCTTGCATCTCTGCCAAATCCTTCTTCAGATTTACAGCTTTTTCCTGACTTTCAGACAGGCGATTTTTCTGACTAATAACCTAGAATTCAAGGTGAAGACAGAAACAGCAGTTTTGTTACTTAAATGTCCTTGTATGTGTGAAAACCCACAAGTCTTTGTTAAAAAATTTTACTACCAAAATATTTTCAGGCCTTTTTAATTAACAAAACACTTTTACTTTTATGCACACACATATGAACTCATGATCCCTTTTCAGTAGATCAACAAAATCTAGAGGTGAAGGAGGAAGGAAAACAGCCTTTTTTTTTTCATTACATGTAAACTGGTAACAATCCAGGGAAAAAGTCAAATTGAAAAAAAACCTCTTCTGATTGCAAGTATCATAGTTAGATATATCTTTATGCAGAGCACTAAAACACCCTTCAGGCCTCGTTTCTTCCTGCAGCCCAGGCAATCTGGATTCTATATCAACAGCAAGGTTCTCCAACATAAATCCTCACCAGGCATTGCATCTAAAGAAGTACATTTCTACAGACAGCAGAAAGCTTCCACCCAAAAAAAACAACCAAATACACCAGACTGAAGTGGCAGTCTATTTATAGTAATTTATTTTTTCAAAGCTTGGAGACAGGCAGAAATTACACAGAGACAGAAGAATATTCCAGATTTCAGGAACAACGGAATGAAAAGGTTAGACTTCCCTCCCACCCACCCCAGAAAGAGCAGCATGAGGCAAAGTGAATGAATTTATTTTTAGTTACAAACAATTAAACTGGAAGGAGTACAGTGAAGTGAACTCTTAGATACTGAGAAGTGTGCGTATTTAAACAAAACTACTACACAGATACCCCCTAACATATTTGCACTTCTGGTTTCACTGGGCCAAGTTGGATTTCAGCCACTTTGACAGTGGAACAAGTAAAACATATTCATCCACTCTTTCACTGCTTCACCTCTTCATTGTCCTACCAATGCCACACAACTGAATGAACAGCTGCAGTAACAAGCAAGCACTAGCAACATATGGGGAACTCACCTGTTTGCTCAGTTTCTCCCATTGTGTCTGGCAGTCTACTAGCCTAGACTTCGCCCAAGTATTTATGCCTGCGATGGGCTGAGCTCTTAAAGCAGACTCTACTTCTTTCATCTCTTTCAGTGATGGTTCAATCTTCTCCATTTCATTGACAAACATCTGAGCACACAGAAAAAAACAATGTTGTTCTTTACCAAGACATTACATAAACTTATAGGATACCAATAATTTTGCAATTTTTAGTTATTCCAGAGAAACAGTAATAAAAAAGTAGACTGATTCTATGCCCAATACCAGACTGTTTGAAACATCATAACTACGCAACTGAAAAACAAAATACAGTTTGCCATACACAGTGTAAACATTCTCACAGTGCCAAATGTCAACACTGGAAAAACACAAGTTTGAAGATGATATGCACTATAAACCCTGATGTTTCTGACATACCTCAGACTTGTATTCTTCTCTGAGAAGCAAACATTTGAAGGTACACTGTAATCACTTACTATAAGATGAAATTCTACCTAGTTGTGATCATTATAATGATATATTATATCATTATAATATATAATAAATAAAAAAAATATATAATATTCAAGGGTCACCTCCTACAAGCTCA